GAATTTTAACTCAATACAATCAAAATCCTTTGGAAATGTGTGTGAGTGGGTGCAGGGGATATTTGTTTATATGTATGTTTGTATATAAGTTTAGAGGTGAAGTGAACTGTATAGGGGTGCGCTTCATTCAAGAGTGATCAGATAAAAACCCCAGTGGTTTCTTTGGGAAATCACCCACAAAGTCTTAATTAGATCAATCACTTGAAATTTTTACAGATGTAACAGTGGCTGCTGTCTCTGTTAGTTGAATAAATGAAGAAACTGTTTTCACCATTTATCACCATTACTTCCTATGTATCGCTCCTCCACTTTCAGGGATTCTTCAGGCCCTTGATTAAGAACATTTCTAGTTCAGTATCCCTAAAATATAAACCTCCTGGCAAGGTCAAAGAGATAAAACCCCTAGAATAATTGGAGTAGGGAGGAAACCTGAGGGTTTAACTACTTATACACAATTTCAACTGATCCTTGTACTCCAGTGTAAAGATATACTGAGCCTTTCAAGTGTCTAAAGACACAAATCCTTTTGTGTCTCATTATTTCCTCTATAAAAATTTGGCTTCAGCATCCTCCTGCCTGCATTTCCGTCTGTTTTCAGTCTCCAAGTGCTTGTATAAATAAATAAATAAATCTTTAAAAAAAAAAGAAAGATCTATACATATCATATTTTAAGCATTTCGTTTGTGCTGAACAACTTTGATCTTTAGATGACATAATGTGACATGTTTATCATTCCCATTTCAAATTGCATGTACATGGTGTTGAAGATTAAGAAATTCAGAAAAGCATTTCCACTGAAAACTTGTGTTTTTTTGCTTAAAATAAATGCTTTGGCTGGAGCATTTTCTATAACTTTAACATATTATATTAATGTTAAAAATAATAAAAATATAAAATGCTTTAGAACATTTCATCTTCATTTTACAGATATGGGATTGCCCATCTCATTTTCATCTCAAAGGTATGGGATCACAGTGCCAGAGTTTGAATTATTTGACTAAGATTGCCTTGGTATCAGGTAGCAAAAATGTATTGTCAAGGAACATGAAAGATGAAATAGTAGATTTATGCAAAAAATACATTTTACATCACTTTAAGGGTAGGTGATGTCAAGACATATTCTAGGGAAGAAAGTTTTAAGAGAGAAGAGGAGAAACTGAATCCTGTCATCACTACAACCTCAGCAGTAAAATGTGGGCCCGAGCGCTCAGCACCTTATTAAATTGCTGACAGCACTGAATTCCTACAATGTAATATCATCATCCCATCAAGTTAAGGTATTAATTTGGATTCCACTAGCTTTAGAGTTTCACTACGTAATCTCTAAAAATTAGTTTTTGTAATTTCTAAGAATAATAAGCATACACATATTAATTTTACACATACATTTTTAGTTAACTTTATAACAAAAATAATTTAAGTGTAGGCTGTGAGAATGTTTTTCTATGCTATTTCAATAAGAAACTTAAAGAGACATTTTGACTATGGCAGAATTTTCATTTTATGATTTTCAGAAGAGTAATAAGTAAATAGATGATACACACCAAATATTTGTAAAAGCATGTCACAGGAAAGGAGATGACACTATTTTAAGGAATTTGGCAAAGTTTTGTTATATTAAGCTGAGAATTGTTTTATTATTTGAATATTCCTATGATCAGGATAGGAATGCAGAGAGCAATTTTCTAAAATACAAAGAATGGGGCCTCCATGGTGGCGCAAGGGGTTAAGCACCACACTATGAAGCAGTCCACAGCCTCTGCAGCATGATCCCCGGCCTCCCTCAGCAGTTCAATCCCTGGCCGGCCAGGGAGAAACCCACATGACGTGGCAGACCTCTCCTGTCTTGCCCGCTGCTCCCCTCAGCAGTGTATTTTAGTCAGTCTGCCTGCTCTGTTCCCCACTCTGTCTCTGGTGAATCCTCTCACCCCCTGCATCTCTGGCCTGTGCCCCAGTTCTTGTATGCATAAATGGACAAATCTTTTTAAAAAATAAAATAAAATAATAAAAAATACAAAAAATGTATAAACTGTTTGGAATAACTAACAAATTTCATATTTGGCACTTGAGATAATTTTAGTGAAACTCATTTGCATGTACAATATAAAACTTAATAAGAAAATACCTTATATTCTGACTCCCTTAAATAAATTTTAATTACCTTATCTTTTGTATTTTATCTGCCAGATGTACTAAGGGAAATGTAAATGTTAAGTCAAGTGACAAAGGCATTAACCTTTTTAAAGCACAGATATTGGATGTGATGCTTACTTTTGGCATATCTTGTGGAAAACACAAATAGAAATATTATCATGACAACCTATCTACTTGCAGGGCATTTGTTGACATGATTCCTCTTCATGCTTAAATAATAACATTCTTCTATCATTGTATATACAATATATTTTCTCTTTCATTTTGTTATGCTACATAGTTAATGGCTATTGTTGGGATATTTCTAACTTTTTTTATTTTATTACGTTATTGCTTTACAATTCCAATGTATAAAATAGCCTTTCATTTTGATCAATCATACTTCTAAGGTGTGATAACAGTATTAGTAAGTAAATCAATATTTTTCTTCCATATATTAAAGCTGTCTACCCATTTTCATGTGTTTTAAACAATTTTTCCAGAAATAGGGACAATAACAGGTTGCTGCTTCTAAAATATTTCATTAGAGGGCCTCCCCGGTGGTGCAGCGGTTGAGCACTGGGTTGCGAAGCTGCCCGCGGCCTCTGCAGTGCCGGTTCAATCCTCGGCTGCTCCCCGGCCACCAGAGGAGGGTCCCACATGGCGCGCAGACCTCTCCTGCCGCCCGCTGCTCCCCTCAGCAGTGTACTTCGGTCCTTCTGCCTGCTCTGCTCCCCGCTCTGGCTCTGGTGAATTCTCTCACCCTCCCGCGCTTCTGACTGTACCCAGTGCTTGTATAAACAAACAAACAAACAAATAAATAAAACAAGCCTCTATAAAAAAAAATTAATAAAAAAATATTTCATTAGAACCTATTTGTGATTAAGGGCTATATTTTCAGTTCACCTTATGGGTATAGTTTAAAGACGTGAAGTAGCCCACTAGGGTTTCATTAGCACAATGAGTATTAATTTATCAGTATTACCTAATACAGAGAAATAATGAAACAGAAAAACAAATTTTTGATGCATCCATTACTAGATTCTCTTAGCTTTTAAAGCTTTAAAAACTATCAGGCTAATGTTTTCAGTCTTCTAAATGATGCTCTTCAGATGGAATAGTTCTGTGCTTTTGGGTAAAGCCACTGAGGGACAGGCATCATTGGGTCATTTATTTTATTGTAGTTATTTTCAACTCAATAAACATTTAGAAAATGAGTATTTAAAGCAAAACACATTACTAGGCACTGAGATGAATACAAATGCAAGCAAGAATGAAGCTTATATCACAGAAAACACATAAAACAAAGCAAAATGTAAGTTGCACATGGAGTGAAAATTTGGATGGAGATACCAGAGAGAGATGTGAAAATATTAACGTTAACCTAAATCTTGAAGAGCAGGGTGCAAGAAAGCAGACACAGTAAAATGGCATTCAAGGAAAAATGAATAGGTGAAAATTGGTTGTATTTGAAAAACAGACAATAGACCCAGATTTTTTTAGCAAAGGCACATGTAAAAGAATAAAAGGAGGGCCTCCCCGGTGGCGCAGCACTTGAGCGCTGTGTTGCAAAGCTGCCCGCAGCCTTTTCAGCACCGGTTCCCTCCCTGGTCGCTGGACGAGGGTCCCACATGGCTTGCAGACCTCTCCTGACTCGCCCGCTGCTCCCCTCACCAGTGTACTTCAGTCCTTCTGCCTGCTCTGATCCCCTCTCTGGCTCTGGTGAATTCTCTCACCCTCCCGCACTTCTGACTGTACCCAGTGCTTGTATAAATAAATAAATCTTTAAAAAAAAAAAAAAAGAATAAAAGGAGGGCCTCCCCTGGTGGCGCAGCGGTTGAGCGCTGAGCTGGGAAGCTGCCCTCAGCCTCTGCAGCGCAGGTTCGATCCCCGGCCACCTGCAAGGGTCCCACATGGCGCGCAGACCTCTCCTGCCATGCCCGCTGCTCCCCTCAGCAGTGTGTTTCATTGGTCTGTCTGTTCTGTTCCCTGCACTGGCTCTGGTGAATTCTCTCACCCTCCCATGCTTCTGACTGTACCCAGTGCTTATATACATAAATAAATAAATAAATCTTAAAAATAAAGAATGAGATAAAATTGATAAAGAAAAATCAGACCCGGATGGTAGAAAGTGCAAGTGAAAACAATGTTAAAACAATGTTGAGGAGTTTGAGTTTTCACCTGTAGCAGAATTCATCAGAGGGTGTTTATTGTAAATAAATAGGCTCTATATTACCAATTTTAAAAGAGAAGTAACATAAACCCATTTTCAGAAATTTCAAAATTAGAAGGAAAAAAAGTATAACTCACCTTGTACCACCACAAGTATTTTAAGCTCTTTTGTTCATGGAATTAGTGGATGAGTAGAGATATAAGTGAATCACCCCAGAGTTTTAAGAATAAGATATGAGCAAGTCAATATGAAGAATGTAAGTATAATGTGGCTTTCTTTTTTTATTTGAATATGAAAAGCAGATCTATGAATTTTCTAACATTTGCTTCATACATTTTCCATGTTTTCCAAGACACTTTCACATTTACCATTCTGTCTTTTTTCCTGAGAAATATGTAAGAGGGCTGTCTTTGGAATCATAACTTAGTGAGAAAATTAAATGACTCTGTTAATGTCAAACAATCAAAAACACAAAGTTAGATTAGAATTCAGGTTTCCCAAAACATGTTTCAATGTTATTACCACAATATTTGTTCAAATTACTGGAATAATTGTCTTCTATATAGTATTCTTCCACTTATCCTTCCAGAATCTTATCTAGATTCTGAGCCTCTATTAATTCATGGCTCCAAGGCACCACGAGGGTGAAAGGTCAACAGACATTGTTCTTAATCTCAAGGTCCTTAGCCTTTCATGGAATATTCATGGCAAAGTTCAGAGTGAACATTTATTGAAAACTTCTATTATGCACAGAACTGGGTGCCATTTCATGAAAAACTTCCTTTCTTCTAGAAGGACTTTAACTATGCTAGAATAGTCCTTCTAATTCTTTACATCACTTATCAAGGCAAGGAGGTGGAAACACTTCTCCAATTGGTAAATTTTGAAGAAGCGTGACAAAATTTCATCTTGCCTTGAGTTGGAGCCAAGCAGAAAGGTGCACTCTTCTTGACCCTATGCCATGGAGTGCCTCCTGCAGTAGACACCTATGGCATTCTGTCAGTGCCTGGGTTGGTAAGTCTGATTCAGAGTGAAAAGCCAGTAAGCACATCAGGCTATGAATCTAAGTCATGTCGTTTAATTAACTTTCTTAGTAATACAGTTCATATCTTTATTTCCTTATATGTGATTATGTTTATCTTAGTTGGATCTACTACACATTATGGGAGGAGAATCATTATTTAATGAGCATCTAAACAGTATATCTATAATCTCATTATCAACAGCCATAGAGAATAGACGATAATGTTATCATTATCCCAAAGAGGAAAATGAGACTTAAAAGGTTAAGTAATTTACCTATGGTCACACAGTTACTTAGTGTCATAGAAGAATAATGAGCTAAACCTCAGTATTTGATCACATTATAGACATACTACAAGGTAAACAAAGTTTAAAGAGAGATACACTATATTATTATATGTTTGATTCCATGAGCAAAAGAAGAGCTTGTTTTACAGTACTGGAAAGTCTCAAAGAAAAGGGAAAAACATCCTTTGAGAACAATGGTATTCATTATCAACTAAGCAAACTTAAAAACATGGAAAAAATCTTACAATCTTATTTATGAATCGGATGTTATAATTTACCCAATACTCTTTTATATAATATGCCTCTTAGTTCCCATTCTGCTTCATACTATAGAGCATTAAATATAAATTCCAGTTATAGAAATAAAGGGAATTAGTTTCCCATTGTCATCAATACCTAAATTTCACCTCAACAAGAAGAATTTATATTATAACCTAAATCAGGACTCAATCCAGTCAGATTCAGTGGTTGTTTTTATTTTGTTTGGAGTCTGATTATATATGTGGAAATTCCATCTGTGAGGCTCAGTTAAGTACAGAAGCAAAATGAAGGGAAATGTGCTGTGGATTCATTGTATCATGTTATAGAGAGATACATCCTACATATTGATCTTAGCAGAGATAACATAAATATGAGAAAGAATGGCTAGAGAGCCTATGCTGCAAATTAGTTTCTGTCAAGGGTTCTTCCAAACCACAATAATTTGTTAGGGGCACTCACAGATCTTGGCATATAGTAGCACTTAGGATTATGATTTATTTGGAAAAAAAAAGATATAAAATCACCAAAGAAAAACAATGTACATGGGGAAACCAGTTACAAACTTCCAAGTGTCCTCAGCGTGTGGTGTCACACTGGAACCTCTTAATTCCCCAGAAACAAGCTATAACAATATATGTGTGAAATATTCCAACCAGAGAAATCTCTACACAATGCCCAGGGTTTTATTGGAGGTTGGTAAACAGACTCTGCCTGGCACATGCCAAAATTCCACACACTCAGTAAGAAAGCAGGTGTTCAACATAAACCATATTGCTTATACCATATAAAAGGCAGAGGCAGTCTCTTATAAATTAATGGTGGTAAATCTAACTTTCCAGATGGCAGGCAATGGCTAACCATACATAAAGTCCTTTCAAAGGATAAACAGTCTCAATTCTGTAATATTAATGTTTTCTGTATAATTTCAAATAAAAACATTACATAAAATAAGAGTTCAATGATACTTTATTAAAGTATTATGGGTAAAATATCTTTAGGTCTTTTTAATAGAAAGAAAATATATTTTAAAAAGTTCACTTAGCTTTGGACTTTATTTATACTATAAAGATATTATAACATCAAGGTTATTATATTGTTATGAGTTCAGAATAGTTCTCTGATGTATGAATTAGCTAATGTTCAAAAATAGAATTGATATCAAAGCCTACTTTCTACTTCTTACACCAAGTTAATATTTCTTCAGCAAAGCTGTATTGAAAACTTCATTGTTTTTTTTTTCAGTCATAAGAATTCAATTTAATTGAAAAAGAATAATGAATCATTATTTCTATCATGCTAAGATCATTATTTAAACTGCTTGGTGTGTTTATTTCTGTGTTTTTATTTTTATATGCACGTGTACTCTCATTTTTTTTCCTTTTCAAATGGGACTCAGGCTTTCTTAATATAGCAATGTATCTTGGAAAGAGGAATATAGGAAAATGAAAAAGAAATGAGAAATTTCAAGAAGTAGCAAAAGTACTATGAAAGAATACACGAAAACATGCATTTTGAGATCTGAATAATGAGTTAATCCAGAAAAAAATCTGGAGAAGCAAATTCTAGTGGAAGCAACATTAATGAGACAAAAATAAAAATAAGCATAGAAAGGGAATTCCTTTTTTTATTTTTTACAAACAGGGAAAAACATTTCAAGATTGAGTTAAACTTTTAAAACCTCACTCTGATGTTTTAAACTGATGCCCTGGGGCATCAGTTTTAAGATGGGAAGAGAGAGGTTAGAGGCTGTTATAGGAATGTAAGGAATAGAGAATGAAGGTTTGGTGCAGAGCTACAGTAACACAGATGAACCATACTGATCAGAGTTGGGAAATACTCTGTATATAGAATTGATGATATATTGGTGATAATATATTGATGATATATTGGTGATACACTGAATATAAAGTGCTAAGATGAGACATGAAGTTTGATTCCTAGATTTTTTAGACTGACCATTCATTTGAAAGAAACTTTTTATAAATTTGGAGTCACAGATTTGTTATATGTAATGAAAATTATATTTTTCTTTCTATAGTTTGTCTTACAATTTGTTATTTGTGATGTATAGAACTATTTAATTTTATGAGGTTAAATAAATCATCTTTTTCTATATTTGTTTGGCAATAGGTTTATAAAGTCCCTACTTGCAAAATTAGTAAATACCTTCACTTTCCCCAAGGTCTGCCAAATTAATACACTATTTATTTACATAGTACATCCTTTTTTCATTAACTGAGATGCTACTATTTAAACATACCTAGTCTTATTTAATTTGTATCAATTTCTGGTATTTCCATTTTAATCTATTTTTCTGAACTTGGTTCAGTAATCAAATTATTTTCTCAATTATTAAATTTTTACTTAGACTTCATTCTAATATGGAAAATCTGTATCCCATACTAATAGTTTTCAATATTTTCTAGGTTACCCTTTCATATTTCTTTCTCTATATGAATATAGAATAATGAAAAAATATCTAAATACTTGGTAAATTACCAATATTCCAGCTTTATAGATGATAGGAGTTAATTTTTTGGAATAAAGTACATTGAATCTAAGAAGTGACATAGGGGCATAGTGAAGAAAAAGCATTATTACTTTCTATTCAACAGTGCCTTCATAGTAAGTTTAATTTCTTGCTTTCAAAAAACACTTTAGATAACTGTCTTATTTTACAACAGTAATTATATTGCAAGTTTCCTTAATTATATATATTTACATTTTACAATACCAAATGATTCATGATAGATTTCTTGTACATAATTAGTCCATCCTTTAAAACACCCAGTTCACATTTCTGCTTACTTCAGAGGAAAGAAATAATCTAGAGTTGCTTCCTTTATCCTCTAGTTTAAACCTGATCCAGAACACAACATTACACACTTCTTCATCGTCATGTAACCAATATATGCTGTTTGAGTTTCCACACAAGATTCTTTCTGAAAATGAAATTGTATGACTTTGATTTATACTTTACATTTTAATAATCATTTTCTTATAACCACACTCTCTCTTCTTCCCTAGAATACTCTGAATGTCTTATTCATACATTTGACAGGTATTGCTTAGAAAAAAATAAGAATGAATTACAAAAATCTTGCTTGGATTCAATTTGCATAATTCTAGTTATGAAAGAGTTTGATCAGCCTGTAGAATGAAGTGAGAAATCCATACAGACATTGGTTTATAATAATGCACACCTGAAAACTATATAAAATTATAATCCACTGTCATTTCAATAAAAGTTAAAAAAAAAAAAGACTAGAGAGCTAGCTTGCTCTTTTACTGCCATGTGAGGACAGCTAGAAGATGGCCATTGCTACCCAGAAGAGAACTCTCAGAAGAACCTGACCATGCTGACACCCTAAACTATAACTTCTAACCACCAAATGCTGAGATATAAATTTCTATTATTTATAAGACAAAAAAGAAAAGAATTGCAGAAGCATCCTTGGTGGCCTAGGGGTTAAGTCTCAGTGCTATCACAGATATGGCCTGAGTTTGATCCCCGGCCAGGGAGCTAACCCACATGGTGCAGGAGACCTCTCCTGTCTCCCTCACTACTCCCCTTAGCAGTGTATTTCAGGAGATCCACCTGTTCTGCTCCCCACTCTGTCTCGGGTGAATACTCTCAATACCCACACCTCTGGTTTATACCCCATTTCTTATACACAAATTAAAATAAAGTAAAATTCATACATATTTTTTAAAAAAGAAGCAAATGACAATGTCAAAGAAAACTTGGTCTATTTCAAATAATACTATTCAAGGAGTTGGGATGTATTGGTTATACTTTTAATCAGTCAGATATTAGCTTCCTGGAGTTTTCCCATCTTTATGCTATGATTTTATGACAAATTGACACATCTGCCTGCTCTATTCTACACATTAAAAAGCAAGCCAAAGTATGGAATAGTCTTCAAAGCATCTGTTCCAGCTTCCATTTGCTTTCCCAGCTCAGCCCATAATGATCTTCTATAATATTGATTTTGTATACTATTACTCACTTAATAATCTAGCTCCTCCATTTTAGAATTAGCTTCAGCATTAGTTTCTCTTCAGTACTTCCAGTCATATTCAAGTCATCTTTGTAATCCAATTTTTCATTCACTTCTCAGAAAATCTCACATAGGATTTTCCCTGTTGATTAGCTCCTCAAAACTCAATTACTGGCTTTAAATCAGTCACCTTATAATCAATAAGCTATAATGGTTATTATAAGGGTTAAATGATAGAATAATAAATTGCTGCACATAAAGCACATCATAAAAGCTCAATTATCGGAAACAATTAATAGCTATTGTTTCCTCCAACAACCAGTTTTAAAAACAAACTGATTCAAATGACTGCATTGTCTACCCATAGTTGATAAATAGTTTGACTAATCTGTATTATTATTTAAATGGCTAAATAGGATCGATTCAGGGTGTGTCATCTAG